CTTTCATTAGTTAAATTCTTTCAATGGAACAAGTTACAAGTACTTAATAATAGTATTCTTGATTACGGTAATTACTTGAATTGGATATTAACTATAATGAGTAATTTTACAAATAAAAAATACATATATATATTCAAATTAAAATTTTCCAAAAAATAATTTAAAATGATGGGGATAGATGGTTAAGCATGTTAGACCTGGTTTCATGTGATACTAATGGGTAAGGTACAGATTTGGACCATGGGTTGTTCATTAAAGAACTTGGGTCTGGATTGCACCTAAATGAGTTACTAAAGGTACTTGACCCGACCTAACTCATTGCCACACCCACACAGTGCTATGCACTCTTAGAAATTTGGTTTGCTAGTTGCTTTTGTTTCAGATAGAAATAATTTATCAAGTTTACATTGGCCAAATAGTTTAATTTTTAAAAAGAAAATAAGTCTTGAGTTGTCAGAAGTGGGCCCATCCTCCTCAAGTTCCAATGAAGAACCCTCATTGCCCCCACGTGGGCTGTTGAAAGACAAACCCCGTGAAGTTTTAAACAAGCTAGCAATTCTATCATTCTTTAGGAAGAAGAAAATGTGAGATATAAATTTGTAATTGGCATATTTCGTTATCAAAACGAGTCCGATTGAGTTGTAAATTATCAGTTAGATTTGTCAAGAATCAAGATCCGAAGCGGAATTGAAGAAGTGATCATGTTCATACTTCGATACACACTGGGATGATGAGAACAACGCTTTAGGAAGGAAAGAGAGTGTGTGAGGATACTTTGGAGTTTCAAAATTGGTGTTTTTCAAGTCTGGCCAACTTAAATCAGTTCATCCACCTTGAACCGATTCAACCACCCTGAACCGTTTCACGTGTCAACGTTGTTTTCCTCGAAAACTCACTGGCCAACTTGAACCGGTTCCACCACCCTGAACCGGTTCAAGTGTTAAAAATTATTTTCTTAGAAAACTCACCGGCCAACTTGAACCGGTTCAACCACTCTAAACCGGTTCAAGATCTTCAGACAGTTTTGGTAACTTAGTTTCCTGATCTGTTTTGGCTTCCTATTATGCATATACTTTTACCATATTAATTATGCACAAAATTGACTTGTTTTCCAAGTACAATTAGGTTTTCAAAAGTCTATAAAAACATGTTTTCTCAATTAGGATTTCACAACTTTTTGCATACAAAATTCTTATTTAATTGAGAGCCATCTTTGTGAGATTTTTATTCAGAAATTCAATCTGATTTAATTTTATTTTTGAGAGCATAATCGAAGATTTAGAAATTCCGAAAAGCAGATCTATTTCTTCTACAACAAATTCAAATTTGAAGAAGAAAGGTGTTTAAATCACACTTTGAAGGGGTCAAGGCGCTTTGCAAAGTGTTGTTGATCTACCAGTAATCCTTCTACAAGGTTCAAGGAGTAAGTCTAAAGTCGAGAGCTGTTGGACAGGGGAGTCGCAAAGCCAGCGGTGTTAAGCGAGTTGGGTCTTGGTAGAGTGAAGGGATGTGAGCCTGAGTCAAAGTTCGGTGTACTTTGCTTCATACATAGTGGATCTTTATACACTTAGGATAGCGCACAAAACCTCGAGGTTTTCCAATTGGTTTCCTCGCTAAAATCCGGTATCGCTCTAACTTTACTTGCATTTATTTTTGCTTTGTGGTTTGATAAATTTACTTTTATTTCGGTAAATTTAATTTAAGCATAAATCGAATAAAAGAGCAAGTTGAACCTATTCACCCCCTTTAAGTTATTTATCCATATTATATTCCACAATCATTCCGCATTGTGCAACTCACAATTGGTATCAGAGTCATCCTCCACACATTGAGTTGTTCCTTGTGGAATAATTTTTTTTTTTTTTTTTAAAAAAAAAATCTGTTTTTGTTTTCAAAAATTTGACATGGATGGCATTCTTAGGGAAGGTGGATCTATTCAACGTACTCCTCTATTTGATGGTGATAACTATGCTTTTTGCAAACCTAACATGACAGCTTTTCTTATGACGCAAGGTAAATATGTTTGGGCTGCAATTGAAAAAGGTTATAAAAAACCTACAGTCACAAAGGATGGTGTTACCACTGAAAAGGAAAAGTCCGAGTGGACTCACGCTGAGAATAATGCTCAAAGAGGGAAACACTAAAGCCTTGTTTTCTTTATTCAGAATTGTTTTCCAATATGAGTTAACTCGTTTTGCTCATTGTAAAATTGCAAAGGAAGCAATGGACATACTTCAACTTACCCATGAGGGTACATATGAAGTCAAATCTTCAAAGATTGAGATGCTTATGTTTCAATTTGAAAATCTTAAGATGGAAGAAAACGAAACCATTTCTGAGTTTTACATGAAACTCAACCATATTATGTCTGGCCTTCGAAACCTAGGAAAGAAAGTAACAGATAAGAAAATTAACAAGAAAATCCTTAGGTCTTTGCCTGAAAGGTTCAGAATCAAAGTTGAAACACTGCAAGCAACTCAAAACATCAGTACCATGCAAGTTGATAAGGTTGTAGGTCATATTAAGAACTATGAGATGAAGTACTATGGAAATTCCCAAAAACCTAAAGACTTTGCCTTAAAAGCTTCAAAGTCTGATTCTTCCAAATCTGAGGTTGAGTATAATAATGAGTCTGATGAAGAGATTGCTCTCATCACTAGGAGGTTCAGAAATTTGATCAAGTCTGAAAAGATGAATGCACTTAAGAAAGGGGGAGAGTCAAGGTTTAGGAATAGAGAGTCTTCATCTAGGGGAAGTGAGAGACAAGATAAAAGGAAAGAAGAAGAGTCTAAAGAAACTGAAATTAAATATTGGACATGTGCTGGTATAGGTCATACATCAATAGTTTATCCAAGTCCTAAAAATAGCTTTGTTGCTAGGAAAGAGTCCAAAGATAAAAATAAGGGAAAAGCAATGAAAGTTTCAGTTTCTAGGGATTATGATGCTTCTTTTTATGATGATGATTCTTCTTATGATAATGATAATTCTCTTGCTTTTGTTGCTATTGTGAATAATGATGCTTCTAAAAGATTTTCTTTGTCTGATAAAGATGACTCAAATTTTGAGGACATAACAAAACCTAATGATGAAGATTGTTAAAAGGAAGCAACAGAGGAGAATTATAATAAAGCCTTCAATGAATTGTATGTTACATATGTTCAAACAAAGAAAGGTTTCAATAAGCAAGGTAAAGAATTGGAAGAAGTTGAAAAGCAAAGAGATGCTCTGAAGAAGGAAAGTGAACAGAAATAGAAGGAGATTGAAGATCTTCAAGGAAAGGTAAGGTTCCTAGAAGGTGAGATAAGTCAAGTTAATTCTGCAAAAGAATCTCTTGTTTCTAAATTGGAATTTCTTGAAATTGAATTGAAAAAGTCACAAGAGAAATTGATTGGATTTACTTCTGGGCAGATTAAACTTGATGAGATGATTAATGTTGGTAAGAATGTGAATAACAAAACTGACTTAGGTTTTAATGAGGCTTCATCTAGTAATAAGGGTAAAACTGTTTTTGTGAAACCCAATAACTTGAATGTGCCTAAAAAAAATCTAAGGTTGTTGATTAATCACATGCTAATATGTCTTATGTGCCTACTATTTTGCATTGCACTTATTGTGGTAGGAATGGACATAGCCAATATTATTGCTATAGGAAGAGAAGAGAATCTTTTTCTGAATTTCTTGCTTATAGTTCTTATGCTAAGAATAGGGTTCATGCTAGAAAGCAAAATTTTGTGAATCAGCCCAAAAATTCTCATACTAAGAATTACTCAAACAAGAAAAAGGTCGTAATTGAAAAGTCTTTTCAAAAGTTGAATGTAAAGACTGTGTGGATCAAAAAGGAATACTTGGTTATTTACATGCATGTTGATGCTATGGGAATTGTTCCTATTAGGTCTATATGGGTGCAAACCCCCCTAAGTCCTAAAAAGGTTTTATGGTCATGGACTATGCTTTGATGAATATCTTGTTTCCATTGGACCATATCTTGTAGTTTAGGATTTAGGTTTTTTTTTTCATGAGAAAATGACGATCATGTTTTTCTTGTCAATACATGAGTGATAATTATTTCTCTTGAATCCATTATTTTTGAATGTAAATTGGGACACATGATTATTTGATGAAAAAAGTTCTTGATGTGTAATCTATATGTTGAAAGACAATTTGCTTTGTTTATTTCTTTTTAGATATTAGTCTCTTGAGTTCATATTTTTCATGTGCACTAGTCCAACTCTGAGAAAATTTAATTGAAAATCATTGAAAAGTTAAGTAGGTCATATTGCTCATAAAAGCTATAAAGGTTATTGTTCAAAAAAAAAAAAAAAAAAAAAAAAAGAAGAAGAAGAAGTTTCAGGTTTTAGCTTACTCAAACCGAGAGCCAAGAGCTATATTTATATACAAGAATAGGGTACAAAGAAAGAAAACCAAATCAAAGAAAAACAGGAAATATGCCAAAATCTACGTGATCCCATGATTATGGGGATCTTATCCACGTGATCCCATGATTACCGGGATCTTATCTACGTGATCCCATGATAATAGTGATCTTACATAAAACACCTAATAAAAGGCTGAAAACAGCTAATAAAAATAATAATAATACAGATATTTCAACACTCCCTCTCAAGCTAGAGTGAAGATATCAATCAAGCCCAGCTTGGTAATCGAGGAATGAAGTAAAGGTGGACTAACGGATTTGGTGAACACATCTGCCAACTGATTAGAGGACCAAACAAAGCACGGCTTAATAATCCCCGAACGAACCTTCTCTCTGATAAAATGAATGTCCACCTCTATATGTTTAGTCCTCTCATGAAGAACATAATTTGAAGCAAGCATAATGGCTGACTTATTATCACAAAACAAGTCTGAGGATTGTTTTTCACGTAGCCCCGGTTCCTCTAAGAAAGATCAAAGCTAGAGAATCTCACAAGTACCCTGGGCATGGCACGACATTCAGCCTCTGCTGAAGATCTCGAAACTACAGGTTGCTTCTTACTTTTCTAGGATATAAGATGATCTCCATAGGAAGTACAGAAGTCAGATGTGGAACGTCTGTCAGTCTTGGACCCAGCATAGTCTGCATCGCTAAAACAGGATAACCCAACCTGCCTACTAGAAGAATAGAATAATCCAAGTCCAGGACAAGACTTCAGATATTGAAGAATATGATATACCGCATCCATATGAGCTGTACGAGGAGCATGCATAAACTGACTCATAACACTAACAGTAAAACCCAAATCAAGACCGGTGTTGGTAAGATAAATCAATCTTCCTACCAAGCGCTGATACTGCGAGGGATCAGAAAGGAGATCTCCAGACTCAGCCGAGATCTTCATATTAGGATCCATAGGAGTGGAAGCAGGTTTACACCCAAGCATACCCATGTCTCGAAGAAGATCCAAGACATACTTCTTTTGCGATAAAGAGATACCATGCTTAGATTTAGCAACCTTAATTCCCAAGAAATATCTGAGCTGCCCAAGGTCTTTCACATCAAAAGCTTTAGCCAATTAAACCTTTACTTGAGCAATCCCAGGGATGTCATTGCCGGTAATGATGATATCATCAACATAGACAAGAAGAATGATACATTGACTAGTGGAGGAACGGTGGATAAAACATGTATGGTCAGAATGGCATCTAACAAACTCCATGGATAGAATTACATCACTGAAGCGGCTGAACCAAGCTCTGGGAGATTGTTTTAACCCATACAAAGACTTCCGCAATCAACAGACCTTTCTAGCATACTCCACCTCCCTCAGCCCGAAAACCGGGTGGATGATCCATATAAATAGTCTCAAAAAGATCACCATTAAGGAAAGCATTCTTCACATCAAGCTGATGAAGAGGCCAATTGTGAGAGGCAACAAGGGAGATAAGCAAACAAACTAAGGTTAATTTAGCCACTGGAGCGAAGGTATCATTAAAGTCTTTACTAGGAATCTGAGTAAACCCTATGGCCACCAAACAGGCCTTATACCAATCAATAAAGCCATCGGCTTGATATTTAACACTGAATACCCATTTGCAACCAATGATGAGCGCTCAAATGTGACGCATTTTAGCACCTAAGCGAGGGTATTTTAGACCATTTATCTATCTTTATTTTGCCGTTTTAGTACTTATTTGTGTTTTTGTCTATTTCAGGTCAATAAGGTTCAAACGGGCTAAAAATAGTGTTTTACAGCCTTTTTGGAGTCAAGCAAAGGTTCCTAGAAGATTTCAGAAAAATCTGGAAAAAGGTCAGAAATACTGAAAATTTGGATGGATCGAACACTGTTCATTTGATCGATCGAAAATTGCTGGCAGCGAGCTGTTTTATTTCCGCGCGCCCGAAATCTACCTACCACATAGTTGCGGGATTAGATATTTTTGGGGCTATATTTCTAACTTAATAACTAAGAAAAGGACCTTGTATTTAAAGGGAATTGAACCATTTTGTAAGAGAGCTTTTTCATCATTTTATTTTTACATTGTAATTTTATTTTTTTCTCTCTAGAAAAGTTAAAGATTAGGGTTAGAAGAAAAGAGAAGAATGGAGGCACCAAGAACACATCTCTAGATCTACACACACTCTCTCTCTAGAATTCAACAAAGAAGAAGGGGGAGAAGATGGAGCCGTGTTTGGGGATTGCCATTGAGGGTTCCAAGATCACACCTACCTCCTCCATGATTGGCTAGACTTTTTCTTGGGGCTTGGATGAGCTCCAAGTTTGTAATCTAAATCTCTATCTTTTTCATACTTTTTGGCGAATAATATCTTGTGATTAATGTTCTAGCCTTGTGAATTTAATGAATCTTGGTATATTTCTATGATTTCTATGGTTTAATTCTTCCTATTAATTCTCTAATTTATTTACATGTCTGTGTGATTAAATTGGGAATTATGTCTCACATGATTCATATGGTTTAATTCTTCCTATTGATTCTCTTTGTGATTACATGTTGTCTTATGTGTGATCATTTGGGAATTGATCTCTACACTATTTTTTCTATATTAATTACATGTCTATGTGTTGTTGATTGAGAATCTAGTGATGGCTAGGCAGGGGTTTTATTAGATGGGTTTGTCAATTAATTTGATAGATTATTCTTATGCTTGATGGGTTGTTCTATAATTCATGGTTGTAGGTAGGTAAACAATCTATACTTGATTCGATATTCCATGGCTTATTATTGCAAATTCCATGATTCTCTAGATTGATGTGTGCTACAATTGTGACTAGTTTGATGGGTCTTGCTTAGAATTGATGGGTTGTTCTACACTTAGTTTATTTGTTGGTTAGGTAGACAATACATTATTGAATTTGATGGTTCATGCTTAATATTGCAATTGGTAGTCGCATTTTGTTCACAAGAATGTTTCCCCAAATTAGTTGAAAGTGTGTGGTTTGGTGAACGAGCTTGGTGGCAATTCCAATGGACCCCAAGACCTCACTTCTCATCTCTTAAATCCCTATCTCAACTTAGTTTTATTTTAGTTTTATTTTACTTGCATTTTAATTACCTTGCACCTTAGTTTAATCAACCAATCTCTCTCTTTGCAATCAATTGGTACATTAGAGTCGAAGTTAAATTCCAACACGTATAATCTCTGTGGACGATCCCTACTCGCTATACTTCATTAGTTGTAGTAGTGGTTTTTATAAATGTAAATTTGATTAGAAAAGCTTCTTAAACCACAATCATATTTTGACCTTGCGAAGCGACCTCTCACATTAAAAAGTCCATTTTCTAAACACATAGGAAGGGGCTCGTCAACCAACAATCTTTTCACTAGGAGGGAGAGATACAAGCTCCCATGTTTCATTTTGCTGCAAAGCATCCATTTCTACCATCATAGCAAACATCCAATTAGGATTCCGGAAAGCCTCAGAGACATTTCTGGGAATGGAAATGGAATCAAGTTTGCCTAGAAAGGCTCGAAAAGACACTGAAAGACCATCATAAAAGATATACTACGAAATAAGATAACCAGTATTACAAGCAAATCCAAATCGAGCAGGGGGTTTGCGGTCCCGAGTGGGATACCGAGATTCAGGAACAGGGTCAGGGAAATGTAAATGAAAGAGAAGAGATGTACCTGAACCTATATCTGAGGAGGATGAAGGCAGTGGAGGCAGAGCACGAGGGCAGCGAGAATAGACCTGCAAAGGGGATGAGGAAACCGCAAGAGAAGACTCTTCTTGAAAAATAGGAAGAGGACGAGCAAGAGGAGAAACCTTTTGATCAAGAGTAGAAGTTTCCAGCAAGATAGTGTTAGAACCATAAAAAGGGGTACGCTCATAAAAGGTGACATCAAGAGAGTGATACATGTGTTTGTGTACAGGATCATAACACCGGTAACCTTTTGACATTGAAGAGTATCCTAAAAAGATACATTTAATGGCCTTGTCATCAAGTTTAGTACGAGAAGGGCTACGATTCTGAACAAAACATGCACATCCAAACACCCGAGGCATGATGGAAAAAAGAGTAATATTAGGCTGAAGCACTTATAAGGGGGCCTTACCATTTAATACTTTACTAGGGGTACGATTAATGAGAAAAGTAGCTCTAAGAACCTCTATGTACCAGTATAACTTTGGCACATTCATACCACTTAAAAGACATCGAACAACTGACATTAGTTGGCGGTTTTTACGCTCTGCCACACCATTCTGTTCAGGGGTATATGGACAAGTAAGTTGATGAAGAATACCCTGTTGGTTAAGTTGAGACCGAAACTCATTGGAAACATATTCACGACAATTGTCAAACCTAATATTCCTAACAACAGTTTTATATCGAGTTTTAATCATTTGGAGAAATTGATTATACAAGGGAAAAACTTCAGATTTATTTTTTTAAGTAAATATACCCATGTGCAGCGGGAATAATCATCAATGAATGTGACATAATAACTATGCCCCGAAAAAGCAGTAACAAGAGAAAGACCCCACACATCAAAATGTATGAGATCAAACATACTAAGTGCACGATGCATATGAGAAATATAAATAGTTCTAGTATGTTTAGAAAGCTCACAAATCTCACATTGAAACTTATTATCCTTACAAGCCATTATTAATGAATGGAAAAGCAAACATAAATACTGAAAGTTTACATGCCCAAGGTGAGCATGCCATACATTTAAAGTCTGAAAAGAAAAATCATAAGATCTAGAAACTGGAAGAACAAAGGCTTGAAGACTTGAAGCAAGTGGAGGAGGTGTCAGTGGAGGATCCCTAAAGTAGTAGAGGCCATCGTGCTCGTATCCCCTACCAAAAATCCTCTTAGAACACAGGTCTTGTAAAACACAGTAATGAGGAAAGAAAATTACTGCATAGTTTAGTGATTTAGCAAGTTTGCTAACAGATAGAAGATTAAATGCAAAGTTAGGAACATGAAGAACAGATGGCAAAATAATATCAGGGGATAGATGAACATCTCCTTTACTACGAATAATGGTGGTTGACCCATCGGCTAGATTAACAACCTGATTAACAGAGGTAACGGGAGTAGAAAATAATGACAACTCACAAGTCATGTGATCATTGGCTCCAGAATCTAGAACCCAAGTAAGTTTTCCCGCTTTAACATGAAAAGTAGGAGTACGTGTAGGTATAGTAGCCGTGGGAATAGAAGAGCCAGCCCTGGTAGATAAAGCTCCAAACTGCTCCTGAAGCTAACCAATCTAGAACACTAACTGATTGAAGTCTTGAAAAGATGGTCTGGGAGGAGTTGAAGAAGGAGGGACAACAATCTGTGGAGTAGTATACCCACAAATAGTATCAGCTACTGCGACAGTACGACCACGGAGAAGGACGATTGCGAGAAAATTTCTACTTTAGCTCAGGATGAAGCTTAAAGCACCGATCCTTTACATGACCCGTGGCTCCACAATGTTGACAAATAACCTTTCCCTCTAAAAGTCTAAAACTAGCAACAAGAGCCATCTGATCAACTGGAGTCTCTGGTAAAGCTACTGGCTCAGAGATCTAACGTCTATGCTCCTCATGGTCAACAGTAGCGAAGGCATCATATAAATCAGGCATAGTTGAGGTGTTTATGATCTGAGTTCTAAGAGCATCATACTCAAATCATAAACCCATCAAAAACTGGTAGGTATGCTGCTGGTCCAGTCTCTTGGCCAAAAGAGTTATAGCTTCTTTAGAGAAATCAGAGAGAGGTTCATAATATGCTAATTCTTCCCACCTAGACTGGAGGTATCCAAAATACTCTGATACTGACAGCTTGAGTGTCTCCTAATATGTATGAGCAATCTCCTGATAGAATTCAAAGATGCGAGCGTCATTGTGGGAATGGGCATACATCTTGTTAAGGGCTTGCCACAGACGAAAAGCGGAAGTGTGAAACATGAACATATTATAGATACGCTCATCCATTGAGTTGAAGATCCAACCCAGAATGGTGCACCTGTCCATGTCCCATATAATATATTTAGTATCCGTCTTTTCCGGTTCCTTGACTAGACCTAAAAGCCAACCAGTTTTCCCTTTCCCTCCAATATAGAGTTGAAGAGAACAGGAACAAGATACGAAGTTGCGCCCATTCAAGAGCACACTAGTAACCCGATGTGCCGGAGTATGATGTGTCGAAGATAAAGTATGTTGGACCGAGGATACAGTGTCCTTTTGGCTACTAGAATTAGTCCTAGTACCAAAATAAGGCTGGTCCACACGTCAAAGCCAGAGGAAAGAGAAAAAAACAAGGCCGGAAAAATCGGCACTTTCCTCCAAATATGCTGCCGAACAAATACCGGCAGCCCACAAAGAAAAAAAACACCAGAAGGACCCTTAGTTCATAAAAAACCTAAGGGAATTCTCCTAAAAAAGGAGTGAAAAACAGAGAGTTACCCGAGGGGTCCGGCGCAAGGGCTGGAAGGAGATGGAGGTGCGCCGGAGATGAGGAAAAATGGAGAGAGAGAGAGAGAGAGAGAAGGTGAGGTGTTGGGGAGGAAGATGGGGAGGGGAAGGTTTTTGTTTTGCTCTGATACCAAAAAGAAGAAGTTTTGGTTTTGGCTTACTCAAACCGAGAGCCAAGAGCTATATTTATATAAAATAATATGGTACAAAGAAAGAAAACCAAATCAAAGAAAAACATGAAATATGCCAAAATCTACGTTATCCTATGATTACGGGGATCTTATCTACGTGATCCCATGATAATAAGGATCTTACATAAAACACCTAATAAAAGGCTGAAAACAGCTAATAAAAATAAAAATAATAATAATACAGATATTTCAACCCAAAAAAAAAAAAAAAAAATCAGCATAAAAAAAAAAGAAAAATCAAAAGAATCCTGAAAATCTTTGCTAAGGAAAAGGTTGCCTATTGAGACTAGTTCGAAAGCTCCTACTATACTTTGAAGATAAGCTAATTGAGTAAAAAGAAAGGAGGAGACAAGTCGAAATAGGGAATTGTTGTCTACTCTTTAGAGTGAAAGCCGCCTTGCTTAGTAAAATTTGCTCAAAACAATTTTATCTTGATGCTTTTCGATCAATTTGGTTTAGACAATTGATCAATGTGATTTGAATGAAATTTGATGAAGTTGGATTGCACACACACACATATGAACTTGTTAGGAAATTTTCTAAATCTTCATAAAAATTGCAAGTGGAATTTCATGTTGTGATTGCATGCTTGAAAATTGATTTGATTGAATAATTTGTGGTGTCTAAAAATTTCGTGTTTTTAAATTCTCTTTATCTTCAGAAATTTTTGGATCTCATGTATGCTTGAAATTCATGGAAATTGCTATCTCATAATTTTTGTTCAAATATCATAAAAAAAAAAAAAAAAAAAAAAAAAAAAAAAAAATATTGAATAATTGAAAGATCCAAAAAGATTTTCCTTTTAGTTTTTATTAGAAATTTTCATTTTTGACTGGATATTGATATTCTCTCTCAATTTATTCCTTTCTTCTTTTTCTGCATGGTTTGTTAAATTCTTACAAAAAGGAAGAAGAGGTACTTCATGTTTAAAGGGGAGGTATCATGTGTGATTTTGAGCATGACTGGTCTTATTTATCTTGTGGGTGGAACATGTGTTATCATGTTGTTGTGCTTATTGCTATATCTTATGCTTGGATGATAGTTTGATCTCTCTTCTTGTTAATTCTCCCACATTATTTCTTTTCCTTCTTTGTTGGGCTTTATTTGTCAATTTGTAACAAAAAGGGGGAGAATGATGCATATTTGAGGGGGAGAGTTTCTAGAATTGAGGGGGAGACAATTTTTTTTTTTTTTTTGATAAGTAATTGAGGGGGAGACATATATATTCATATTGAGCTAATGTGCAGGTTACAAGAGGAGAAAACTACAAGTGATGAAGCTTCATATGGTTCAAGAAGAATTCTAGTTTTTGTCTATTTTTGGACAATCAATGTAATTTACTTTTTCTGATTGGGTAGATTACTTGTTGTCTTAGGGGTTTTGTCACGAAATTGCCAAAGGGGGAGATTGTGAGATATAAATTTGTAATTGGCATATTTCGTTATCAAAACGAGTCCGATTGAGTTGTAAATTTTCAGTTCGATTTCTCAAGAATCGAGATCGGAAGCGGAATTGAAGAAGTGATCGTGTTCATACTTCGATACACTCTGGGATGATGAGAACAATGCTTTAAGAAGATAAGAGAGTGTGTGAGGGCACTTTGGGGTTTCAAAATTGGTGTTTTTCAAGTTTGGCCAACTTGAACCGGTTCAACCACCCTAAACCAGTTCACCTATCAACATTGTTTTCCTCGAAAACTCATTGGCCAACTTGAACCGGTTCCACCACCTTTAACCGGTTCAAGTGTCAAAAATAATTTTCTAAGAAAACTCACTGGCCAACTTGAACCGGTTCAACCACTTTGAACCGGTTCAAGATCTTCAGACAGTTTTGGTAACTTAGTTTCCTGATCTGTTTTGGCTTCCTATTGTGCATAGACTTTTACCATATTAATTATATTTTTTCCATATTAATTATGCACGAAATTGACTTGTTTTCCAAGTACAATTAGGTTTTCAAAAGTCTATAAAAACATGTTTTCTCAATTAGGATTTCATGACTTTTTGCATACAAATTTCTTATTTAATTGAAAGCCATCTTTGCGAGATTTTTATTCAGAAAATCAATCTAATTTTTCTGATTTTATTTTTGAGAGCATACACATAAACACAAGAATGATTTAGTAGTGTTGTTCTCTATCTCATCGGAATTGGAGCATAATTGAAGATTCAGAAATTCCAAAAGCAGATCTATTTCTTCTACAACAAATTCAGATTTGAAAAAGAAAGGTTTTAGATCACACTTTGAATGGGTCAAGGCGCTTTGTGAAGTGTTGTTGATCTACCAGAATAGGCGATTTCAAGATTGAAAGGAATCTGTATATTGCCTTACTTTGAATGATTTACAATGCTTTAGTTAAATAGGAAATACAAGGGGCTAAAAAAAGGAAACTACAAGCTGACTACAGGCTGTAACAGCAAACTACAGGCTGTAATTACAGGCTGTATACTAACAGAAACTACAGGCTGTACATTAATAGAAGCTACAGGTTGTACACTAAAATATCCCCTAAAATCTGGTCATTGACTATCTATATTTACACGCCTATCATATCCCCTAAAATCTGGTCTTATTAAAACCGAATATCTCTTTTTGAACACTCCCCCTCAAGCTGGCTTGTAGATGTCTTCCATAGCTAGCTTGCTTCTTAAAACTTCAAACTCTCTCTTGTGTAGTCCTTTGGTAAGGATGTCTGCAGCTTGTTCAGTAGTAGAGACATAAGGAATGCAAATCATACCATAGTCAAGCTTTTCCTTGATAAAGTGTTTGTCAACTTCCACATGTTTGGTTCTGTCGTGGAGGAATGGATTATGAGCAATTGAAATGGCAGCTTTGTTGTCACAGTAGACTCTCATTGGAGGAGAAACAGTAACCTTCAAATCTTCAAGGAGTCTTTTTAACCATATAGCTTCGCAAATTCCATGGGCGAGTGCTCTGAACTCGGCTTCTGCACTACTCCTCGCTACTACATTTTGTTTCTTGCTTTGCCACGTGACTAAGTTTTCTCCAACGAAGGTGCAATATCCTGAGGTAGATCGTCTATCAACTATACTGCCTGCCCAATCAACATCTGTGTACACCTCCATTTGCAAATGACCTTGTTTCTTGAACATAAGTCCTTTACTTGGTGAGCCCTTTAAGTACCTCAGAATCCTGTACACTGCTTCAAAGTGTTCCTGTCCAGGAGAGTGCATGAACTGACTCACCATACTGACTGCAAATGCTATATCTAGGCGTGTGTGAGATAAGTAAATTAGTCTTCCCACCAATCTCTGATATCTTTCACGATCAACCATATTCTCGGGTTCGGCAGCTTCTAACTTCAGGTTGACTTCAATTGGAGTGTCAGCAGCTTTACACCCGAGTAGTCCTGTCTCATTAAGCAAATCAAGTACATATTTTCGTTGATTCACGAAAATTCCTTCTCTTGACCTGGCAAATTCCATTCCAAGGAAGTATTTTAATGCTCCCAGATCTTTGACTTCAAAATCTTTAGCAAGTTTCTTCTTCAGTCTAGTCAACTCTTCAATGTCATCACCTGTCAAAATTATATCATCCACACACATAATTAAAACGGCAATTTTCCCTTCCTCACCGTGTTTGTAGAACATGGTATGGTCTGCCTGACTCTGATGATACCCATGACTCTTCACAGCCTTTCCAAAGCGTTCAAACCACGCTCTTGGAGACTGTTTCAAACCGTACAGGGATTTTTTGAGTTTACAGACTTTGCTCTGACTGTGTTTTCCTTCGAACCCAGGTGGCATTTTTTATGTCCAATTGATGTAATGGCCAGTTAGAATTGACTGCCAACGACAATAAGACTCGGATAGAATTTATTTTTGCTACAGGAGCAAACGTCTCTTGGTAATCAATGCCGTACGTTTGCGTAAAACCTTTCGCCATAAGTCTTGCCTTGTACCTTTCCACACTACCATCAGCTTTACACTTAATAGTGAAAACCCATTTACACCCAACAGTTTTCTTTCCTTTGGGCAAGTCAACTATCTCCCACGTTCCACTCCTTTTAAGAGCATTCATCTCCTCTAACACTGCTGATTTCCAATTCGGATCATCTAGTGCTTCCTGAATGTTTCTTGGAACAAACAAGTGAGAGATTTTGAAGTAAAGGCCCTATGTTTATGGGAAAGTTTATCATAAGACAAGTATTTGGCAATGGGATGTTGGGTACAGGTTCGGATTCCTTTTCTAACAGCTATAGGGATATCAAGGTCTACAGGAACTTGGCTAGGTAACTCTGTACGATCAAAAATAGTAGGGACAACTGTAGACAAGTTAGGATTTAGAGTACCTTAAGTGTTCAGGGAGTCATTGCTCGGGACCTCTGATTGGCCTTGCTCAGGTACAATAATAGGCTCTCTACTCTTTTGATGAGTCAATTTCCTGTTATAAACCAGAAGCTCAAGATTCGGTTTTTTTGGAACCGTTGGTAGGATTTCTCCCCCTGTTGGAGATACAGTAGGGCTCGGCAAATTAGGGTTAGGAGGCCCCGGGTTTCCTAATTCTAAAACATCATTTCCCTGTTTAAAAAGATCAGTGTTTGGAGTAATAGAGTGTGAGACAATAGTTTTAGGTAAGGGAATATTAGTAGAAATCTCCCAAAAATTTTCTTCACTCTCTTTCTCCCCCTGAAGAAAAGTTTTCTGAAAATAAGGATGATTTTCTAGAAAAAAGACATCCATACTGATAAACATTTTTTTTGTTTTCGGATTGAAGCATTTGTACCCCTTTTTATTCGGGGCATACCCAACAAATACACATTTTTCAACCCGAGGATCCAATTTAGACCGAAGTCTACTAGGTAAATGGACAAAGACAGTGCACCCAAATACTTTCAAAGGCAGGTTGGAATAAATCCGAATTTCAGGAAAAGATTTTTTAAGGCTTTCAAGGGGTGTAAAATAGTTAAGAACACGAGTAGGCATCCTGTTAATCAAATATGTTGCTGTTAAAACGGCTTCACCCCACAAATACTTAGGAACATTCATTGAAAACATGATGGCACGAGAAACTTCAAGTAAATGTTTATTCTTTCTTTCAGCAATTCCGTTTTGTTGGGGTGTGTCAACACAGGTGGATTGGTGAAAAATTCCTTTTTCTGTTAAAAAACTTCCTAAAACTTCATTAAAGTATTTGGTGCCGTTATCAGTATGAAGAATGCCAATTTTTGTTTGAAATTGATTTTCAATCATCATATAAAAATCCTTGAATAATTTTTCAACCTCAGATTTTTCATTCATTAAATACACCCACCACAAACGTGTATGATCATCAATAAAAGTCACAAACCATTTTTTTTCAGAAAAAGTTGTGATCCTAGAAGGGCCTAAACATCGCTATGGATTAAATAAAATCGTTTTGATGTTTGGTAAGGTTTGGGAGAATACGTAGTACGATGACTCTTTGATAAAAAACAATTCTCACAATAAAAAGATGAACAATCCAATCATTTAAACAAAGAAGGAAATAATTTTTTAAGATAAGGGAAACTAGGATGCCCTAGTCTAAAATGCCATAGCATTATTTGTTCTCTAACAGGGATAGAACGAAAACTACTCAAACCTTGAGCCTTTTTATTACTTGAAATATCATCTTCAAAATAGTAGAGACCATCTATCATCTTAGCACTGCCAATCGTCTTCCCCAAGCTCTGGTCCTGAAATTCACAATAGGATTCAAAAAAGATAACACGACAATTAGAGTCTTTGGACAATTTACTAACTGATAAAAGGTTACAAGCAAGCTTAGGGACATGAAGGACAGACTTAAGATCAATAATTTTTTAAAGTTTTACCAAACCTTTGCCTACAATAGGAGAATAAGAACCATCGGCTATTCTGATTTTTTCAGAGCCAGAACAGGGTGAATAAGTTTGAAATAAATGAGAACAACTTGTCATATGGTCAGAAGCCCCTGAATCAATGATTCATGGGGTAACACTGGAATTTGAACGACAAGATAAGGCCTTCGGGTTGTTACCTATTTGAGCAAGAGAAGCATTAGGAGTACCAGATGAGGAATTGAATTTCAGTAATTTTAGAAGACGATCCATCTGTTCTTTGCTGAAGGGAAGTGCCTCGGCTTCATGAGATGATGGGGCTCGGTTGAATCTGCCTTCCTGCTTACTCTTCCAATTCGCTGATTTACCATGAATTTTCTAGCAGGTTTCACGGGTATGGTGAGGCTTGTTGCAGTGGTCACACCAAAGACGAGGCTTTTCATTATGTTTCCTGCCAATATTCGCTTCAGATGCGACCAAGGCAGAGGTCTCAACAGCACCATTTGATAACTTTTTTCCAAGCATGACCAGCCTGCGACTTTCCTCTCTTCGAACCTCGGAGAAGACTTCACCGATTAAAGGCAAGGGTTGTCGTCCAATTATTCTGCCTCTCACTTCATCAAACTCAACATTGAGTCCAATGAGAAATTTGAAGATGCGGTTGTCTTCCACCTTCTTTTTGTAATGGTTGCAATCTTCAGGCGATTTTCACTCATAATCACTGAACAAATCAAGGTCCTGCCACAAACGTTTCAGAGAGTTGAAATATTTTGTAGCACTGTTATCTCTTTGACGGATCTCTCCGAGTTTCAGCGTTAGTTCATAGACTTGAGACTAATTTCCCAGGTCTGAATACATTTGGTTGACATTGTCCCAGAGTTCTTTTGCTGTGTGGTAACACATATAATTAGAACTGATGTCCTCCTCCATAGAATTCACCAACCAAGTCATCACCATCGAATTCTCTGCATCCCAGGTCGAGTAGGATGGATCTTCAGGTTTTGGTTCCTTTTTTTCTCCTGTTAGGTAGCCGATTTTACCTTTGCCTCGGATATACATCTGCACGGACTGGGACCAGAGAAGGAAGTTTTCACTATTTAGCCGAATTGTGGTAATCTGGACCGAGTGTGTCTGAGAGTTTTGGACTTGGGACTCAAAGGTCTTGGTCTTGGACTCAGGTATGTCATCAGACATGGTGATTAGGGTTGTTTGGAAGAGAGAAAAAAAAGAGACGGCTAGGGGTTTTTTTTTTCAGAAGAATTGGTAAGATGCTCTGATACCAAATAGGCGATTTCAAGATTGAAAGGAATCTGTATATTAGATTGAAAGGAATCTGTATATTGCCTTACTTTGAATGGTTTACAATGCTTTAGTTAAATAGGAAATACAAAGGGCTAAAAAAAAGGAAACTACAAGCTGACTACAGGCTGTAACAGCAAACTACAGGATGTAATTACAGGCTGTATACTAACAGAAGCTACAGGCTGTACATTAATAGAAGCTACAGGTTGTACACTAAAATATCCCCTAAAATTTGGTCATTGAGTATCTATATTTACACGCCTATCATATCCCGTAAAATCTGGTCTTATTAAAACCGAATATCTCTTTTTCAACAACCAGCAATCCTTCTACAAGATTCAAGGAGTAAGTATGAAGTCAAGAGCTGTTGGATGGGGGAGTCGCAAAGCCAGGGGTGTTTAGCAAGTTGGGTCTTGGTAGAGTGAAGGGTTCGATGTACTTTGCTTCATACATAGTGGATCTTTTTACGCTTGGGATAGCGCACAAAACTCAAGGTTTTCCAATTGGTTTCCTCGCTAAAATCCAGTGTCACTCTAACTTTACTTGCATTTATTTTTGCTTTGTGGTTTGATTAAATTTGATTTAAGCAAAAATCGGATAAAAGAGCAAGTTGAACCTATTCACCCCCTCTAGGTTATTTATCCATATTATATTCCACAACCATTCTGCATTGTGTAACTCACAGAAAAAACCACTCATGGGTCAATAAATTCTACTAATGAAGTAATGAATATTGATTTATGCTACCACCAAGGGCTATAGCCTAGCGATACTTCCTCACCTTCTAAAGTAGAAGGCCAAAGGTTCAAGTCCTCAAAGGGGCAAAAGTAGGTGTGTGAATTTCAAAGAGGCAAAATAATAATAATAAAACATTTGTTTATGCTTTATTAAAACTAAAATAATTTCTCATGATAGGTTTAGAAGTACCTTGCCCCTGTTGGCTCTTAAACATCCATATTTTAAAGTATAGATCTGCATTGTAGAACTGCCTACACTTGAAGCAATCCTGTCACCATCTTACTTCTTGGGATCAAAGGATTGATGAGTCTCTTCTTGTCCGTCTCCTTGGCCAAGGATAACACAAAGAGAGGGGAATTGCTTTTCTTCATCCTGTTGGATTGCAGATTTCACCATCAATGTTAAATATCTGGAAGCACATCTTCAATACAATTTACCCCAACGCCAAACAGACATTTGTCCCTTCGGCAACAAACGAGCAATCAATATGAAATGGAATGTGATAAAAATAAAAATGGATAAAATGAAAAAAAAAAAAATATAGATATATATATATATAGAAGATATTTGTTCCCCATTTGTCCGATAGAACATAGTGAATCTTGGTCAAAATCAGTCATATGTTTTCAGTTAGCTTCAGGGTTTAGAATCTTTTTTTACCAGAAAATTACTCTTACATGAACAAAATTTTGAAAATACTTTCCATCTCAAAATATAGAGAATAAAGAACAATGATATATCCTAACAAACTCATAGAAATACCAATTTTAACGACTAAAAAGACTTTATTTCTGTAGAGAGCCAATAAATTACTGAGTTTCTAAAGTTCGCAGCTGTGGTCAAACTTTAAAATTTAAACCCTTGGAACAGGATAAAATTATTAAAGTGATTTTAAAAATTAGATTTCAACTAATGTACAATTCAATCAAAATAAAGCATTGTTGTTTCCATTCTCCAAGTGACAAAGGCAAAACCTTAAGACCAAGTTTAACATTATTACACCTTTTTTATCTTACACTGCTCTTAGAATGACTGGAGTACTAATGATATATCAACACTAAGAGTATAATCATCAACATGATCTAGGCATATGCATAGACATACATCAAAAAGAGAGCGAAAAACTTCAATAACAACAAGCAAACATATATCCAGATTATCGAACCATGCTGAGTCTAAAGACTTACTTGCTCCCATTCCACGAAAGCATTAGCATTTGCATCCCATTCATTATTCCATATTTAAATCTTCCATTCATCTCCAAACAAAAGTATTTCCTTAAACATGACGATGAGTTTTTGAAACCAAGAAAAGTAGATATCGCCCTGACATTACCAGAACTTCAAATGAACTTAGTCATTCAATACTTGTTACTGTTTTTGGCAATTTCTTCCCAGTTTTCATTTGTCTCCAAACTAACTCCCATGTTAAAATTTCCTATTCTGTTGTTATTCCCTTACCCAATCACCTGACTTCCCATATTTATCTCAGTGTTCTGTTGGCTTGATAATTCTTTCTTCTACCTCATTTTGTAGGAAATAAATAATTTTGTTTGATCATTCTAAGAGCAATAATCCCAGTGCCCAACTCACTTCTATTACCAGTAGTCCCACAAGAAAAAAGAACCTTCTCGAAAACAATGGAATCTAATAGCCTTTAAGAATTTTCTCTAGCTTTCTACCATGGAGAAAAACTTCATTGTTGTATGAGAAATCTGGAGATTTAAGTTCCTCGTCATTGTCATAGACGCTTGTGTTGGCAAACTGATCATCCAAAGAATCTCCTCATCACTCTCACAACAGCTGATGTTGCCAAACTGATAATCCAGAAATCATCTGCTAACTTTTATCTGATTTAGTTGACCAATTAGCTGCTCTTATGCTACAGTTCACAGGCATCAGAAAGATGCAATCATCAATATAACCTTTTATATTTACAACTTTCCAACATTTTCTCGAATTAATATGATGGTAGAGTTGAGATAAAACCCATAAATCCTATCAGTGAATCAAGACCATAACGCAAGGAAAGTGGAAAAAAGCAAGCGAGATCAAAACCAGGTGAGCCTGAAGGAATATTTCCCTCTCTGGCTTGATAAACAAAATATGCCTGCCTTCCAACGTCAATCAGTATAAGTAAACAGATTCCAACTGTAGCACAGAGCGCTTTCCCTGCTTCAATGAAAGGGGACGTTACTAAATCTTTTTGACTCTTATAATGGATTTATCATGCACCAAAATAAAATGAACTCTTTCCTGGTTCAATAAAGGGAGGGAGGGGGGGACACAATCTCACTCTTACTACCAGTAGTCCCCACAAGAACAAGAACCTTCTCTAAAACGGTGGAAACGAATAGAGTCTCTCAGAATTATTTCTCGCTTTTCCACTTTTGAGAAAAACTTCATTATTGTATGGCAATCTCGGCAGACTCTTAAATTCTTCATCACCCTGACAGGAGCTGACATTGGCAAACTAATTATTCCAAGTGTCACAGCTAACTTTTCGCTGTGGTGGTTCACCAGTGAGCTATTCGTTTGGTCCAGTTCAGATGCATCAGGAACAAGCCCTTCATCAATATAACCTATTTTCTTAATCTTCTCCAACATTTTTTCCAACTGTGCATATATAATTTGACTCTGAGGATGGGATCTATCACCCACCAAAAAAGAATGAACTTTATTTCCTAGCTCAATCCAACTTAGACCAGGTTCCTTCTTAACTCCCCGTTCTTTCATCAAGTCTCTAATCTTTGCCGCTGGCATTTGCAATTCAGCCTCAGTATAGATATTATAAAGAAGCACATAAGATGCAGCCACTTGAGGCTCTAGCTCAATCACTCTCTCTGCAACACGTTCTCCAGTGACAGTATCTTTATGGACCCTACAAGCACTCAACAACGCTCGCCACATTACAGGAACATCATCAAAGCAGGAGTTTATGATGAAGTTTTCAGCATCAGCTAGTCTTCCAGCACGACCCAAGATGTCGACAATGCAGGTAAAATGCTTTTCATTTGGAATAATGCCATGATCTTTCTTCATGCTTTCAAAATATCTGCCAATCATTAAACAGTGACACATTAAGAAATATGAAATAAATTCTATGAGGTAAATCTATTAGTAATACTAGTTATTAAAAAAGCTCATATGCAATAATCGGTAAAAATATTCTCTGAATTTTACAGATTATACCCCTCAATTTTCAGTATCATAACTGTAGCTGTGTAAAATTCAATAAATAATCCCAAAGTATTTCAAAATGAAAAAGGAATTCCAAACAATAAAGGAACGATGACAAATATTTTGTTTCTCCTTCCCTTATATCATGCATTATTTTGTCTCTACTCAAATCAATTTCCAACATATTTACAAACTTTTCCAGATCAAAGCACAAACACAAATTACAGACTATGCACAGTAACAGCAGAAAGGAATAGAAGAGGTTTTGAAAACTTACCGTAAACCTTCTTCAACAAGCCCCCCATGACTACAGGCAGTAAGAACTCCAAGAAACGTGATTTGGTTTGGTGCAATCCCACAACCTTTCATCAACTCAAAGAGGCGCAGAGCTTCCCTTGCACATCCATATTGTGCACTGCTAAAGATTATCACAGACCAAGACACCGTGTCAGGGGTATCCATCTCTTCAAAGGCCAAATTAGCCGAATCTATGTCTCCTGACTTTGCATACATCCATATCAGTGAATTTTGAACAATAGTAAAGTTATTGATTCCAATTTTTATTGCATGCCCCTGCATTTGCTCTCCGGATCTTGCTGCAGCTAAATTGGCACAAACACTCAACATGGATGATATTGTAAACTCATCTGGTTTTATTCCAGAAGCCATCAATTCACAAAATAGAGCCAGTGCACTATCAAATTGTCCATTTTGAACATGACCAACAATCATAGATGTCCATGTGACAATATTTAGCTTCGTAGTTGAATTAAAACATTTGACCCCGTCATCAGCTGAACCCATTAATGAGTACAACTCAATAAGTGAACTGCCAATGAACTCATCAGACTGAAGATTGTACTTACAAATATGTGCATGGATTTGCTTTCCATATCCAAAATTTTCAGTTGTATTACAAGCTTTGATTATGCTTGAGAATGTAAACTCTGAGGGCTTTATTCCACAACTTTGCATCTCGGAGAAAAGATTTAAGGCTTCCCTTGCAAATTCATCACTAATATTCTCTGTCCGGAAAAGCCCAGCAATCATGGCATTATACATGACAACATTCTTGTCAGGCATAAGTTTGAAAATCAGGGTTGCATCATTCGGATCCCCTATTTTCGCATACATGTCAAGTAACGCAGTCCCGACAACAACATCCAAATCCCACCCAAGTTTGACTGCACACCCATGAAGCATTCTTCCACATTCCACAGAATGATCAAAACTTGAGCAACACGCCTTTAGAACACTCCCCAGAACATAGCTTTGGAAAGCCATTCCACATCGATGCATTCTCACCAAAAGTTGAAACATTTCTTCACTCAAACCACTCTGAACATAACCCGCAATCATGGAATTCCAAGAAACATTGTCCAACTCATCAGAATTATCAAACGCAACCCTTGCTTGGTCAAGCCGTCCACATTTTGAATAGAAACCAATAAGGGAATTGGCCAAGAAAACTTGTCCACCAAGTCCATTAACAATAAATAACCCATGAATCCTCTTCCCCAATTCTAAATACCCACTTTGAGCACACACGCTCAACATAATCGCGTAGGTGAATTTATCAAGTTTTAAGTTTGCCATTCTCGCTTCATTAAACACGTGTATGGCCTTACCATAAAGACCCATCTGGGTATATCCGGAAATTAAAGAGTTCCAAGAAACAGCATTGCGTTTAGGCATTCTATCGAACATGTGGCGTGCGGTATCCAACTCACCGCATTTGCAGTACATATTTATAAGATGGTTTTGCAGAAACCGACATGGGTTGAAACCGGTTTTGATCATGTGAGCGTGTGCGAGCTTGCCATGGATCAAAGACCCAGAAGTAGACGAGGATTGGACCATTCTGGTGTAAGTAACTGAGTCGAGAGAGAGACCCAGTTGAATTGGTTGGTCATATTTTGGGAGTGGCGTTCGTGAGGGTTGAGACGATGTTGTGGCATAGTTCTTCTTCCAGGGTGTCTTGTTACTGAGAAGAAGCTCAGGTAATTCGGTGACGCATGAGAGACATCTGAAATTCGCGGGCTTTCTCACCAGCAACATTGAGTTTGGAATTTCACGTTCATTCCTTCGCTGGCTTCCTTTGCATAACGAGAGAGAATGAAAGGGTAAAGATGGTAAGCAAGTCATTTTATTAAACTATTTTAGAGAATAATGATACAAAACTATTTTATTAAATTACTTATATAATAATAATAATTATTATTATTATTATTATTATTATTATTACCAATTCATATACCTCTCAAAATGGATAATAGTACGGAGTATTACGTTTTTTTGTATTTTTTTGTGTACAAAACTATTTTATTAAATTACTTATATAATTTTTATATTAATAACATTTCATATACATCTCAAAATGGATAATAGTACGGATTATTACATTTTTTTTTTATTTTTTTGTGAACGGCAAACGCCTTCATAAAATTGCTTGGAGCCCGACTTACCTTCGCACCTCACTCCCCACAAATTATTAACCTTTAACATTCTTAGTCATGTAATTTTTGCATTTAAAAGTTAGTGATTTTTTTTTTCTTTCTTCTTTATTAATTTAAGGAGGAGATATTGGAATTATAAAAAATTATGGTAATTTTTTCTTTTATTCCTCCCACTTTTAAGAGAGTAACAAAATTACCATGGGTAGGATTGTAAACCCATTTTTTTCTGTTCCATTTCCTCCTTTTTACTATTATTTTATAATAAACACGAGATAGGATTTATTTTCATTTAGGGTTTGTTTGGTTAGACAGAAAATTTTATGAAAAGTTAAAGTGAAAAAAGGTGAAGTGAAAGAAAGGAAAATCAAGTTCGCGTGCATTTGGTTAGTAGGAAATTTTTTGAAAAAAGTTGTGAGAAAATATTATTTTGTTAGTTTAAATAGTATGAAAAGGAAAATAAATTTATTCTACTTATCGAAAATACCCTTATAATTTTAAATAATAAAAAAATAAATAAATTTATGTTAGATGAATATTATTTATACTTAATTATTTATTTTAGCAAGAAAATAGTGAAATATGAAATAGAATAGAATAGTATGCGATATCATAACACAATTTTTTCTCTTCTCTCTAATCACTTGTTCTGTGTAGATTTGAATTCTCGATCTTTTATTTTTTAAGGTAAGAAAAATAAGTTTTTGGTAAAGAGGACTGTCAAATTCAAGTATTTGTTTTCTCTTTATGTTATTTTTATTTTATTTATTATTTATTTGTAAATGACGTAATTGGATACTATATATCTAATTACAACTTTCTCATCGGGCTGAGAAAATTAAAAATCATGGACAGATGATGTAGACAATTTAAGAATTATCAATTATTTATTTCAAGATAATGTTTATTGTTAGGTATGAAACAAATTGTGTTAAGATAATGTAAACTAATTTTCACCTAACATTCTTGCTATCAACAAATAATTATGTATATATATAATAACTCTTAATCGTTATCAATTATAGAAAATATATATATATATCTTACTTATTTCAAACATTTAGAAAAAAATAATAATAATAATTCAATAATAAAAGAAAAAATTAATTAATTTTGGATGCATACATAAAAAAATAAAAATACAAACAATTAAATTAGTAATACATGATTGTATAAAAAAGCAATTTACAAAAGAAAGAAACTCTACTTTTCAAAGGAAGTCTATGTAATTAAGTAATGAATAAGAGAGACAACTAACACGAGTGTAATAGGAAAGTAATATATAAAGTGCACAACTTTTGCGAGAAAATGAATTTTGGTGTGTTTTTAGCATGAAAATTTTCAGATGCGGGAATCTTACTTTTCCCAAAACTCTCACTTTACCTCTAACCAAACTTCTAAAAAATTTAAATATTTTTCTTTTCTTTTCCAATTACTTAACGCTAACCAAATCGACCCTTACGAAAAAGAGTGAGTTGGAAAATCGCCTTAAGAATAAATAATTGATATTTTTGTTATTACATAATCTGAAAAGAATAAGATCCTACTTTCGCATAAAACAGTCGAGAGACTATTTAGATTTTATCCTAACTCAAAATCCTCATTACCTCGTAATATAGTTTCATTTCCTTCCCCTCTCAAACAAAACTTCCTCCCAGATAAAAGCTTTGGTAACACTAACTCAAGGACACTATGATCACTATCTAAGGAATTCTATATTTTATTACTTTCCGAAAAAAAAAAAAGAATTCTATATTTTATTATTGATTTCCATATGAAAGAAGAGGTTATTGCTTTTTACAATGACAATAATTTGGGTTTTTTTAAACATGATAAAATTTCAAATTGGTTTTAACAATTAATAGATTTGAAGATATTTAAGTCTAATACAGTAGTAACATTTGTTGAATATAAAATTCAATCATATTATTGGTCTTGCTCATTTCAAAATCCCTTCAAGTCAACTTATCGGTTTAAGTGGTCGCCAGTGTCTATATAACATGGTTCATCATCTTTTACCAAACGTAGTTTTCTCCTTGTAAAACAAACAAGAAAACGGATCTTCACTTTTTATATGCAAGTTTGATAAATAAAAATTAGAATACCTTATATTTTGATTATTTCTCTGAATCAATCCCAAAAAAATCATTTATGAACTCATACAATGATTCACACGAGAAGGGTTCGATTATTTCTCTCAATTCTATCCAAAAAAATCATTTATGATCTTTATATACACGTGCACAATGTAGACTAGTGAACTTTAAAAATGTCAGCTTAAAGTTTAGACAAATTACACTAAGATAGACCATTCAGAGTTTATTACTAGAACCTCCCCTAAACCCTTTCGCCAATTGGATAAAAAAACAAGAACAAAAACTTTCACCAAAAGCCTAAAACTGACTTTAAGTGTGAAAAGTCAATAACACCCTTATATATTATACTGCAATTTATACAAGGAAAGAAGAAAATTGTCATTTTATAAATTTTGGTCAATAGTTCAACGCGGGTGTCATTAAGCACGCGCCAAATCCCAAGGGAGATCGAAGTAATAAAAACAATCTACCTGTGTATAATTTGCCCAAACCTCGAAAAAAATCAATATAATTTACCCTAACAGAAAACATCATCACTCTTATAGAAGTGTTTCTACAGCCCCAAATCATCCTCCAAAGAAGTGTTATAACAATTAATTTGTAGTTTGCCTTCAAAATTTTGGGATCCAAAACAGCATTACGGAAATGTTTTCCCATACTCCTAAATCATCCTAATAACAAATTAGAAAAGTTACTGGTCGTATACCCAAAATAGCAATATTACCTGAAGGAAACCATAAACTTAAAATTTTCAGAAATAATAGATCCTTGCCTTGCTAAAAAAAAAAAAAAGGATAAAATAAATAGAGACATGCACTTCACTGCTCATAAACATTAGTTGATCATAATCTACCAATTTATATATCATATATCAAAATAATATACTAGCAGTTTTTTCGTGATTGCTTCAAGTTGACCAGGTATTGAAGAAACATTGTCATGAGAGCTTTCCAGCATACTATTTTCCGTAGAACCCAAAATTCCAATATTTCAAATCCCAAAAGAACAGTTTTTCCAAAACAAAAATTCACATTTACCCAATTCAAAAACACATATAGATATTAAATGTACCTGTAGCATAACATATTTACCTCTTCCATGGATTTCTTGAAGAAACACTTGCAGCAGTACAGTAATTCAAAACATAACCACCTCCCAAAAAGTTAGCTGATTGTATTCCAGAGTTGAGAACAGCAAGGCATTGACATAGTTGAACATATCGAAATGTTGAATACCAACAGTTATTCAGTAAATCAACAAAGAATGTACAACCATAAACCTGACAAATTGTCTGCTCTCTCCCTTGGCTCTCAAATTTTATAGGGAGTTTTCTCTGCTGCTACCAAGATAGTAGGTAAAAGTATGAGCAGTCTTCACACTTTCGCGCTTCATTTCTGATACACAGTCGATCAACATTTAGATATGTTCAACTGGGGTGACAATGGGTTAGGAATTTTCATTTCAATTTTGTTCCCCAAAACAAATGGGATCAGAACACAAAAATATAACCAATTTCCTTGACGACGATGGGTAAAATTTATGGGGCACAAGTTCTGGGAATCAAAATCCTGAGTTTGCTTCAACACAACAGGTTTATACACCGGTCTGCTGTATACAAGCAAAATTAGGAACTTCCTCAAATAGGAATGTGGTATGCTTCTGGAAAAAGAGAATCGATCAGGCATCAAGACATAAATCAGGTAGAACTTGGCTCATCTCACGGCAGCGTCTCTAGCCGATCAGTAAAAAACATCAATGGGATACCAGCAATAGCGGATATCTATCTTTGCTACCAGATTTTAGCTGAAATCATGAAGCATTAGCCAAGAAAAGAAAGCTTGCAAGACTGGTTCTACAACATTGAAAAACATTTCTCAACTTTAAATCATCATTTTCAAAATTAAAACCTGTTCATCCACTATTCTTTTTGAGTTCATCACATCCATAGCAATAACAATGAGGCTACCCACAAAATGACAAGCAAGAGAATTTTCTTACCCCTCCTTCCACTAAGTTTATTCTCCTCATTCCTACAGAAGTGTGTCTACAGTCCCAAATCATCCTCCTAACAAATTGCAGAGTCACCGGTACTAAAAACATCCTCGACTAAATTGTCGTATACCTTCACAATTTGAGACCTAAATTAGCATTACCAGTCGAGCAGAAAATGAGATTCTATACTCCCAAATCATCCTCCTAACAAATTACAAGAGTTAGTGGTCATATAATATAAACATCTTCAACAATGGCTTGTCATATACTTCACAATTTGAGAGCCAAAAAAGCATTACCTGTAGGAAACCATAACCTTCAAATTTTCAGAAATACGAGGCCTTGTCTTGCTAATAAAAAATGGAGACATACATAAACACTCATTTATCATAATTCTACCAATTAATATTCTATATCGAAGTACTATACTAGCAGCTTTTTTGTGATTGCTTCAAGTTGACCAGCTCTTTGAAGAAACATTGTCACGAGAGCTTCCAGTACATCATTTTCCTTGCATTCGAGCCCAAAATTCCGATATTTCAAAAGCCAAAAGATCAGCTTTTTCAA